GATCAGCTTGGAAGCTTGAGAGTTGGAATCCAGCCCACTGGCAAGCCCAGGATCTTCTTGAGCCTAATCAATATGTCTAACTTGGCTCTATTTTCTGCAGGTTCCTATGAGAGTCATGTGTTGTATGTGAAACATCCAAGGCTCTAGGCCCAAAGAAGCAGCTTCTGGCTGCTTTGGGGTGGTGGTGTTCAGATTACGTATGTCCTCAAAGTGGCCAGAAGCCACTCCAGTACCATGATCCAGTCCTTTGGACTGGATCAAAAAGAGATGATTTAATCTGGCTCCTGGCAGTGGTTGGCTTGGGACAGTAGCAGCCCACTTTGGAAGCGGGCCATGCAGTCGCTGCATTCCTGACACAATTGTGGTCTGATTGTGGCAAGAGCAGTCTCTGGATGCTTCTGGCGGGCCATCTGCTTCACCCCCAAAATAGTTAAGTCCAAACTAAATCTGCACAGGCCTACTCAGGAACACTTTTCCAAATGGAAACTATCACAGAATGATTCACCATGCTGGCTAGAGGATTCTGAGAGCTGGAGTCCAAAAATGTAATTTTTCCATGCTCTGCACTACATGACTAAAAATATTTATATATACTAGCTCCCTACCTCCTCCTCTGGTAAAGATTTAGGAGAATCACCATTCTTTGGAATTTTAAAATATATCTGTTTCTGAGTTTACAAAATGTTTATCTATCTACCACAACTTGTCTGCTATCATGATAGTAACAACAATTCTTACTAAAATATCTTCTCAATACCAGAAATAATAGAACTTCAAACTGTCAGGCTGTAGGCACAAACATAGCATGGCCATTTGCAGCATGCATAGCTTCTTAAATTCCAACCATCTTTTCAAATACAAAGTAATGCTAGTCTGGATCAATATGCAAGGGATTTTGTAGTACCTTTGAGATTTACTGAGAGAAAGATGTGAGTAACATAAACTTTTGTAGACTACTTTATCAGATGCATCAAATGACTTCATTCCATGCATTTGATGAAATAGACTTTGGGCTGAAACAGACAGCCACGAAGGGACAGCTTGAAGCTGCCCCCACTGAAGACGCTTCAGGACCACATGAAACACACACCATGATCCCAAAGATGCCCTACGTCGCTGGCCCAAGTAGGAGTGGAAAAGATCTGCTCTTTTGGGGGGCATTTTTGGGCCACCTTAGATACACAACGAGGGAGGCTTCTGAGTGAAAAAACTGGCTGGCAAGGTAAGGAGTACAGGGTGGGTGTGAACAGCCCAGTTTTGCTGCAGACTTTTCTAGAAACTGCAGAAAACCAAGGGTAAATAACTCGGGGGTAAAAGCTGTTTACCCTGGGGTCAGACTGAATCTGCATCTGGTCAGGCAGGATCAGGGTCGATTGTGTTTCTTGGGTTTGGCCTGAAGTAAACATGAGACCAGGAAGAAGCCAGGCCTTTTGGCCCATGCGGACAATCCCTCAGTCTCAAAGGTGCTACAAGATCCCTTTGCTTATGATAAATTGGTTACTTATTGTTGGAGTCTATAGCACTTTATTAGACAGACCTGATCCAGAAAAGCAATTATTATTTGCTCTGGAGAACAAGATCAGATAAAAAAAAAATTTTCTTAGAAAAGATTATTTAAACCACATTGAGAAAGCTACATCTACCAGCCTTCTAATACAGGAAATTATACTGAACATACAGAGCTAATAGAAAGCTAAAGAGATCTGCTATAAAACAGCCATAAAGAGGAGCTTTACCTACTCAAACCAACCATTCTAGTAAAATAAATCTCAGAACAAAATATAAAAATAAAAAAGCTTCTTATACATAGCCTTGGGCATAAAGTGTTAATGTAGCAAACATGGATCGAGGAGGAACAAAGCCAGCCAATTAATACTGGTGTAAAATTAAATGACACCATGACTTGGCAAGGAGAAGGCAATGCCAAACCTCTTCTGAACTAATCTTGCCACAAAAACGTCATGACAAGTTTGCCTTAGGGTTGCAATAAGTCTGAAATGACTTGAAGGCAAACAACAATGCTCAGGACTGGAATCATATGAATGTAGTAAACATTCTGAGCATAAAGAAAAGCTTTTCTAAATCAGATGATCTAGTCAAGTAGCCTAATTCATGTTCTTTTTGTTGTTAGCTGCCCTCAAGTTGATCACAACTCATGGCAACTTTGTGTGAGATGTCTTCATACAGTATGGAGAAAACTATGTGAAGTGGGAGTCTGCATGTCAGTTTGCTTTTTGGCAAAACAAGCCTGCTACTGGAGAACAAGAAAGAAATTCCTCAAATTGGGTCATTCAAAGTCATGCCTATGCAAACACAGAAACAGTTGTTTAGTATTTGAACTGTCTTACTGTATGATGATGAGTTTGAAAGTTCACACTGTGTAGACTAGGAAGCAACAACAGAAACTGTTTTTATTTCTGTAAACATTTTTAATTAAGAAGTAACTGGTGAGGTGGAGAAGGAAGCACAAATTATGAATGCATGATCAATACAGTGAAGAATCGTTGGACACCTTAAAGCCTAACACCCAATAGGGCAAACTTTTGCAGATGTGAGTATGCTTTGTCAGCTGCATCTGCTGGAACTGACTCCAGTCCATGAAACCATATACTGTATTCAGTGTGTTAGGCTTTAAGATGCCATAGAATTCTGTTGTCTTTATTACAACAAACAATGGTCTAAAATCCTATTGTTACTCCTATTAGAGTAGACTTACTGAAGCAACAGAATGTATCTGGGTATTAACTCACCATTCAACAATTGATTCAATGGATCTATTCTAGTTGGGTCTAGCCAACATGATTTTAGCCTAACACAGTTTGCCTTTCAGAGAATGCATCACTTGGTACCTTGAAAGCAGTTCTTAGAAGTGTGCTGACTCAAAAGCATACTAAAGGTTCTTCCTGTTGTGTTTGTGTGTGTACCTTCAAATTGCCTGTTGACTTATGTTAGCAGACTGTAATCTCTCAAAAAAAGACTAGAGTTAAAGAGCCACCAGTATATCTTTCAACCATAAGAAAAAACATGTTGCATTCCATATCAATGTATTTCCAAAGCAACGGGAGGAAAAAGACTGCCTTCAAATACAAGCTTTTCCCTTTCAATTGACAATGTACTATAACTATTACAATATTGGGAAAGAATTATATGAGATCAAGAAATTTGTATTTTATAATTTTTCTACATGTTGAACCATTTGATTTTAAGTATTAGCATAATTATAAACATTATTATAACCACAAAGTCTAAGCAATCTAGTCATGGTTAAGCCACTCATCTGTTTTGTACAATGAGATCATTTCCAACATTGGCATATTTTGTGCTTTATGGAAAGATAAACTGAGCTTTTAGGCCTGAAATAACAGAACTTTCTACTTTTGACTTTCGTTTTGTTCTACAGATACCAGTTTGAGAAACAGGGGTGTAGGAATCTTGGAGTTAGACTATAATTTAGTGGTTCTGAAAAAGCAAGATAGAAGAACATTATAGGTATATACTGAGAATGCGTTATACAATGTTAGTGTATTTTAGTTTAAATGGAAGATAATTCTTCATCAAGGTTAGCCAATAAATGGACATTAGATAATTTAATTTAATGTATTTCTTAATGATCTTTCAATCCTGCTGTCAAGTATTTGGAACAACCATTCTACATTCAATGCAGCCTGTTTCTCCACAAATTACTGAATACAGGTCGAGTCTCCAGAATTCCAAAATCCAAAATATTTCAAAATCCAAAATCATCCATACATGTGGCTAAGACAGTGACACCTTTGCTTTCTGATAGTTCAATGTTCACAAACTTTGTTTAATGCAAAAAAAAAAATTTATATGTAAATTTACCTTCAGGCTATGTTTATGAGCTGTATTCAAAACATAAATGAATTTCATTTTTAGACTTGGGTCCCATCTCCAAGATAGCTCATTATGTATATGCAAATATTCCAAAATTCAAAACAATCCAAAAACCAAAAAACTTCTGGTCCCATGTTGGATAAGGGATTCTCACTCTGTAGCTCTTTAATAAAGACAAAAATGTGTATGATTTTATTTCTGCTTTATTAGTCATACACCCATTTGTACAGTATTCATACAGGGCCAAACTGCCATTATGCACTTTGATTAACACAGGTTTTGTGAACCTACGGTTACTCTTAAGAATGCAATTATTGCCTGCTCTCAAAAAGCAAAGGTTAAACATACAAAGATTACTTTTCTTACAAGGTGTTCAACAATTTTGAAGCTTTCAAATACCTTAATCTATATGACGCAGCATCTGAATGCAGGAAGAATGATAGTTTGTGGATCTAATTGAAAATTCAAAACCAAAACCTCTCCCAAATATGGGAGGAATTTGCCCCAGCATATAATAACAATAACAACAACAACAACAACAACAGCAATAGCAGCAACAGCAACCATCCACAGTATCTTAATGATTTAGGCCTGGGTGCAGAACTCTATTTGAGACAGTAGATAAAATGAAAAAGATGCATTTTAAGGAACTGAAAGAGATTAAACACACACATATCCAAATGTCAACATTTCCACTGGGAGTAAAGAATTTTCCATTTTATAGAAGATTTACTTGATGTACTATCACTAACACTTGACCACTTACCTTCTGGCCTAAATGCTCTTATCCTTTGTTCCATATTAACTAATAATTCCAATATGTAAATACAACATATTTAGTTGTACCAACACACAGGTGAGAATGTACCAAGAAATCTGCCATCACTATACTAGAAACTTCTGCATTTTAAAATATATTTATGCTAAGCATCTTAATTACTATGCTATTGCACTGACAGTTTATTTTTCTGATTACTTGGCTAATGAAGAAAGGGCTACCAAGTCACCTAGTAAACTTGCAGCTGCATCATCAGAAGCACTTCGTTTTAAAGCAGAGAAGGGCAACAGATGCCAACTTTCAGAAAAAATGTTAAGGGGCTCACAGAGAACCAATCTGTGAAATTAACTAACAGGCTCCACAGAGAGCAAGAGTGGTGTAGTGGTTCCAGCACTAGACTACAACTCTGGAGACCAGGGTTCAAATCCTGGCTCAGCCACGTAAACCCACTGAGGGACTTGGGCAAATCACACTCTCTCAGCCTCAGAGGATGGCAATGGAAAAACCCCTCTGAAGAAAGCTGCCAAGAAAACCCCATGATAGGTTTGCCTCCGGAACACCATAAGTCGGAAAAGGCACACAACAACAAAAGCAGATAACTGGCCTGGAAGACTCATGTAAGTAACAAGAGAGGAACTGCAGTACTAACCTTCCCTCGGAAAACAGTCACATTCTCAAGTTCAATCTTAAGGTTGAACAACGAAGAGAATTCACATTCCACAAACTTTAAAGGAGGAATACCATGCACACTTACTTCAATATGTAGCCCCACTGAACAAAGACTTCTCTACTCCCAAGTCAGGAACAGGCAGTAGGAAAACCATTTAAAAGCTGCCAGATTTTGAGTAAAAGTTGCTGTGTTTGAGTAAAAAAGGCTTGCAGTATTAGATCTCTGAAGGCCAGGCTTATAGGTACAAACAGGAATCTGCAAACCCAACATCTGTTCTTTATTTAACCATTCTTGCAGTGCATCTCCTGGAGCTATTAAGAAAAAAGAGAAAGAGAGAGAGAGAAAAGATGCCTTTGAGGTTAGCCACTGTTTCCTTTGCTCGCTGTGTGACTCAGACAACCCATTTGAAAGAGGCCGACATAGCCAACCAGCTTCAAATATTTTCTCCTCCAAAAAATGTGGAGTGAAGAGAAAGGTCCAAAGGGACCAAAAATGGCAGGTAGGCAACTTGGGCAAAGTTTGTGAAAAGGAATTCCACACATATATTCTGTTTTCCTGACAAATTTCTGCATCCAGCACTGCAGAATTAATCCGGTTTGCCACCCCTTTCACTGTGAGGCTCCATGCTATGGAATTTTGGAGCTATAATTCCCAGAATTCCACAGCATGGAGCCATGGCAGTGAAAGGGGTGTCAAACCAGATTATTTCTGCAGTGCAGAGGGAAAAACCAGCAGAACCAGATCTGTTACTCCACTACCATATCCAGGTATCCCTTCCCATTGTCCATCCCACCAGGTTGACCAGATGTCATAAACACAAAGGAGGACAAAGCATGGTAAAATGGAGGACACATAAGAAAATGTAGGGCGTTACAAAATAACAGGTAAAAACACTCATTCATGCTCACAATTTTGGACATTTTGGAATTCCTTCTGGATAGGAGGTTGCAATTGAGGTGGAAAAGGAGGACATCTAGTCACTCTGCATCCCACTCACTCCAGGGTGACCAGATGTCCTATCCGCAAAGGAGGACAAGGCACTGCAAAAATCAAGAAAAATATAGGACATTACATAAAAACACTAATATAAATAGAAACTCATTTCAATGGACTTCTCAGTTGTACTCAAAATGGAGGACATTTTGGAATTTCTCCTGGACAGAAGGCTGGAATGGAGGACAGGTCCTGGAAAAGTGTCACCCTGAAATCACTCACTCTCCCCATTTTCTCCAGACCCCCCAAAAAACAAAGGGATATAGATAGATATCCATTTCTTTCATAACAAATATAGATAGAAAAATATTCCCTGTATATATAATAATAATAATAATAATAATAATAATAATAATAATAA